ATATAACATTATATATATATGTATCTGAAATTCCATTTCAACTCTGTCAAAAGATCAAAAAGGGAGGGTTCCAATTCAGGTCAGTCTTCCAATCTGCCCACTGTAAAGTACAGTAGTACCTTTAAGGCATCTTGAACTTGCCAGACTTTATCACTGTCGTTGGTACCGTCTTCTCTTGCTATGCAGTAGGCACTGCCCCTAAGCGCTTTGTGTTCAGCTCACTTAATCCTTCACTGGCCACATTTATCAGATGGGGAAACTGTCGCTTGGAGAGGTGACCCACCTCTTGGAAAGTAACAGAGCTGCAGGAGAGCAAGCAAACTGGGATCTGTCCAGCTCAAAAGCTATTACATTGGACTACTAACCCAGTGTTTGTCAAACACCCTATTCTTGTTGCACTTTGCCAGGTTCTATATAAATGAGGAGAATCATTTCATTAATGTCATCCTCCTAGATTATACTATAAAGTCTGCAAGGTAAGTTACCTTGATTCTCCTTATCACCAAGCAGGATGCGTGCAGTAGACATTTATGATGCATAAAATTGACTGTCAACTGGACAGGATCTAGAATCACTGAGGACACAAGTCTCTGAGCATGTCTCTGGGGGAATTTTCTAGATTAGGTTAATTGAGGTGGTGACACCATTCCCTAGGCTGGCGTCCCAGACTGCATAAAAGAGAGAGCTAGCTGAGCACCAGCATTCCCCTGTCTCTGCTTCCTGACTGTACATGCTGTGTGTGACTGAAGAGGCAATGTGACCAGCTTCGCCAAGCTACTGACACCATGCTTTTTAATATGATAGACTGTGTCTCAATTTATGAGCCAAAATAAACTCTTCCTTAAGTTGATCACGGCAACAAGAAAAGTGTAATATATTTAATACAACACTCAAATGATTGTCACATGAATAAGTAAATAGACTGTGATGGCATAGCCAGATAACTTTACTTTGAATCTAATCCGGTTTGTGGTTGGATGTGACTCTATTGGCAGATCCTGAGCAACTTCAGAACAGTACCAGCATATTGCATGATAATAACAGCTTTAACTAAAGTTTATCACTACTGAGTTCCAGCAACCTCTGAGCCTCATGCCTGCCCTCTCCTTCCCCTCAATGCCACACAAGTCAGTAGTTGCCTGATCCTCCTACCACGCTCTTATTCAGCACCAGTGCTCTTATTTTGTCTGCCTGGAGCCTTAGAGGCAGCGCAGTGGCAGGCATGTTTAGCACACTTCCCTATAGTGTAACATTAGGCAAGTCACTTAATCTCTCTGAGTTTCAGCTTCCTCATCTAAATCAAATAATTACATCACCAATCTCATATATTTTCCTGAAGATTGAATGAAGTAGGTAACATTTCTAGAACATTCTAAATGAAGTATACATTTGGCTATACTTGATATTGTTATAGCTGTTGTTATAATTGTTATTGGTAGACTACACTTTATAATTTTCTAATCAAAATTCTATTGTTTCAAGATTCTGTTCAGTTGTCCCCTTTTTTATTTTATTTATTATTTTTATTTAATGTGTATGAGTGTATTGCTTGCACCTGTGTAAGTGCACCCATATTGTGAAATGCCTGTGGAGGTCAGAAGGAAGTGTTGGATCCCTTTTAACTGGAGTTATGGATGGGTGTTAGCAGCCATGGGGTTCCAGGAATTGAACCCAGGTCCTCTGCAAGAGCAGCCAGTGCTTTTAACAGCTTAGCCATCTTTCCATCAATGAAGTTATTACTTTATTGCAGATAATCCCAAATTAGCTCAAACTGGCTTAATTGGAAAATTAACCCAACCCATTGACATATATAAATGAAAACCCTAAACAGCTTCAGAAAAGGTTTGATTTAACTGCCCATATGATATAAGAATTCACCTTCTACTTTGTCCTCTCTGTCTTTGGTAATTTTGTCTTTTGAAAAAATATTTTATTTATTTGTTTATTTTTTTATGTGTATGAGTGTATTGCCTGCATGTATGTAAGAGCACCCATGTCATGAAATGCCCACAGAAATCAGAAGATGGCGTCAGAGTCCCTGGAACTGGAGTTATGGACAGTTGCTACCTGCCATGTGGATGTTGGGAACCAAACCCAGGTCCTCCAAAAGAGCAGCTACTGCTCTTTACCACTGAGCCACCTCTCCAGCTCCAGTAATTTGGTCTCTATCTTGACTTTCCATAGAAACAACTTCCTCTCATCACCTGGAAGCTCCTCCCTTAAAGGGGCAGAATTTCTACAGTACATTCAGACCCCAGCCTCATGACACACTACCCTGGGAGAGAGAAAGTTTCTTTTACTCACAGAAGCCCCAGGAAACCTATGCTTACATCACAGCAACGCTATGTTAGAAGGATGCACCTCTCTGAACTGAGCTGTTGTGTAAGAGACTTTTCCTGAGGAGACACAACATAAACTCCCATTTACCTCAGAAAGAAACAAAAACACACTGACATAATGATACCACCAAAGTCCAACTTCGTGAGACATAAGACTGTAGATGAGGGGTTACTTACAGGAGCAGGAACAACTCAAAGGTAACTGCATCAGCGAGAACCCACCCCAGCATGGATGTTGATGACTCACCAAAGTTGGAACCCTAGAGCTCTCTGCATGAATTGCAGGTAACTTGGCTGGTCTGACCCTTCTCAGTCCTTCATGCTTATAAATCCTACATGGAGTGACATACCAGCCAGTAACTTCTACCCTTCTAAAAGCTGCCCCTTTCCTCCCATCCCACCACTGGAATCAGTTCTTCTTATAAAATAACCTCATCCTGACTGGAGAAATGGCTCAGTGCTTAAGAGCACTGACTGCTCTCACAGAGAACCGGTGTTCGATTCCCATCACCCACAACTGTCAGCAACTCTAGTTCCAGGGGATTCGATGCCCTCTTCTGACCTGCATGCAAACAATACTCTCATGCACATTAAAAAAAAAAAAAAAAAAAAAAAAAGAACTCATCCAAATGCACTGTTGTTTAAACACCCAGGGATGTTATTACGAATATCAGTTGCTGTCCTGGGCTGTGTGACTGTCTTCCTCCAGGAAGCAGCCAGAACAATTGTCTACATTCACACCCAAAAGGCCTGGGACTGCTAAGGTTCTGTAGTTCTCCATCTACTCTTTATAGATTGCCTGTCTCCTCTTTGCAGCTGGGCGGTAAGCAGTCACTCCTCAGTGTTCTGGCATTTGCCTCTAGCACATCTTCACTGTCTATCTTGCTGCCTTGTTTCTCAGCTGTTCGAGGTTGTGAATCCAGGTTTGTAGACCTGAGAGACAGCTTGGCTTATGAATTTCAGCTCAGCATAAGAATCTGAGGCATGATTTACAGAAAAGGCCCTGTTCTAACAGAGGACAATGCTATTGGTGAGATTCTATAATAATTAATTTTGTGTTAACTTTGTTGGGCCAGAATATTTGATCAAACATTTACTCTGGATGTTTCTGCAGGAAAGTTTTGAGTGAGATTTGTATTTCCATGCGGACTGTGCAGCTTTACCTACCATAATGTGGTAGGCTTTCTATTAGTTACTTTTCTCATTGTTGTAAGAAAATACTTGACAAGAAGCAACTTAAGGAAGAAAGGGCTTATTTTGGGTCACTGTCATGGCAGGGAAGGCATGGTGGCAGGAGCATGAGACAGCTGGTCACGTTGTATCTGTGGTTTGGAAGCAGAGCTACTTAGATCCTTTTTCTCCTTTTTCTCCATAGAGGATTTCAGCCCATAGAATGATACTACCCACTTTTAGGATGGATCATCCCACCTCAAATAACCTGATCCAGTTAATCCCCCACAGTTATGTTCATAGGTTTGTCTCTTAGGTGATTTGAGATTGTCAACTTGACAATCAATGTTAAACATCATAGCCCTTATCCAGTCAGTTGAAGGACTTGCTGCAGAAGAGACTGACCTTCTGAGTCCTGAGCAAGAAGGATGTCAGCCCAGCAACAGCATTTGAACTTGAACTGAATGTATCAGTGCTCATCAGTGCCCATCCTGGGGTCATCAGCTGGCCAGTCCACATTACAGATTTTGGACTTGCCAGCTTCCATAATCACATGAGCTAATTCCTTAAACTAACTCATATATATGGGTTAATAAGAGCATTATATATATATGTGTATATGCACATATTATACTGCTGATTCTATTTCTTTAGGGATAGATTATAAGAGATTTTTCTTTAAAAATGTTGAAGTTCCAGGGTTGGGTGCACAGTTTAAGTTGGTGCCATCTGGAACAAAAGACACTATTGTCACTATTGCCAAAAGCACAGTGTGACTCCTCAGCACTGTGGGTACCTGATGTCCCTCACCATTTCTCAGTCCTGACCTGTTCCTGTTCCTGTGAATGGTTGCGGTCAGGGACAGAGGGAAGTCCAGAAAAGGCATGGGGTTTCACCTTTACAAATCTGGCAGGGGTGTGTGTGTGTGTGTGTGTGTGTGTGTGTGTATGTGTTCATGTGTATGCACATGTATATGGTGGCCCAAGGACAAGAGCTGTGTCATTTCAGGGACTGTCTCATTCATTTTTTAAAATTAAAATATTTTATTTATTATTTTTATGTGTATGAGTGCATTGCCTGCATGTATGTAAGTGTACC